CAGGGTGACAATGGGGCCACCAAAGGTGACAAAGAGGCCACTGAAGGTGACAATGGGGCCACCAAGGGTGACAATGGGGCCACCAAAGGTGACACCGGGGCCATCAAAGTGACAATGGGGCCACCAAGGGTGACAACAAGGCCACAATGGGGCCACCCCTTGCCTCCTCCCTCCCCCCCATGGTGGCCCCAGGAGGAAGTGCCCCCCATTGTCCCCTCCCCCGTGTCCCCGATGTCCCCGATGTCCCCGATGTCCCCAGCCATGGCCAGGCCCCGGCTGCCATCGGCCCTCGGGCTCCTGCTGCTGTGCCTGTGCCTCCCAGGTGGGACTGGGACATACTGGGAGGGACTGGGATGGGGACCGGGTGCCCCTTCCCACCCAAGGGAGGTTCCCCTTCCCACCCCGGGCACCTGGATGGGGATTGGGATATACTGGGAGGGACTGGGATGGAGACTGGGTGCCCCTTCCCACCCAGGGGACCTGGATGGGGACTGGGATATACTGGGAGGGACTGGGATGGAGACTGGGTGCCCCTTCCCACCCAGGGGACCTGGATGGGGACTGGGATATACTGGGAGGGACTGGGATGGAGACTGGGAGGGATTGGGATGGAGACTGGGTGCCCCTTCCCACCTAGGGGACTGGGATATACTGGGAGGGAATGGGAGGGACTGGGATGGAGACTGGGATGGAAGCTGGGTGCCCCTTCCCACCCAGGCACTGGGATGAGGACTGGGATATACTGGGATGGACTGGGATGGAGACTGGGATGGAGAATGGGTTCCTCTTCCACCCAGGGGACTGGGATGGGGACTGGGATATACTGGGAGGGACTGGGATGGGGACTGGGTGCCCCTTCCCACCCAGGGGACCGGGATGGGGACTGGGATATACTGGGAGGGACTGGGATGGGGACTGGGATGGATATAGTGGATATTGGGTTCCCCTTCCCACTCTGAGGACAATGTTGGAGCTGGGATATACTGGGAGGGACTGGGATGGGGACTGGGATGGAGACTGGGTGCCCCTTCCCACCCAGGGGACCTGGATGGGGACTGGGATGGAGACTGGGATATACTGGGAGGGACTGGGATGGGGACTGGGATGGAGACTGGGTGCCCCTTTCCCACCCAGAGGACTGGGATGAGGACTGGGATATACTGGGATATACTGGGAGGGACTGGGATGGAGACTGGGATGGAGACTGGGTGCCCCTTTCCCACCCAGGGGACTGGGATGGGGACTGGGATACACTGGGAGGGACTGGGATGGCAACTGGGATATACTGGGATATACTGGGAGGGACTGGGATGGAGACTGGGTGCCCCTTCCCACCTAGGGGACTGGGATATACTGGGAGGGAATGGGAGGGACTGGGATGGAAGCTGGGTGCCCCTTCCCACCCAGGGGACTGGGATGAGGACTGGGATATACTGGGATATACTGGGAGGGACTGGGATGGAGACTGGGTGCCCCTTCCCACCCAGGGGACCTGGATGGGGACTGGGATGGAGACTGGGATATACTGGGAGGGACTGGGATGGCCGTGTCCCCGATGTCCCCGATGTCCCCGATGTCCCCGGCCATGGCCAGGCCCCGGCTGCCATCGGCCCTCGGGCTCCTGCTGCTGTGCCTGTGCCTCCCAGGTGGGACTGGGACATACTGGGAGGGACTGGGATGGGGACCGGGTGCCCCTTCCCACCCAAGGGAGGTTCCCCTTCCCACCCCGGGCACCTGGATGGGGATTGGGATATACTGGGAGGGACTGGGATGGAGACTGGGTGCCCCTTCCCACCCAGGGGACCTGGATGGGGACTGGGATATACTGGGAGGGACTGGGATGGAGACTGGGAGGGATTGGGATGGAGACTGGGTGCCCCTTCCCACCTAGGGGACTGGGATATACTGGGAGGGAATGGGAGGGACTGGGATGGAGACTGGGATGGAAGCTGGGTGCCCCTTCCCACCCAGGCACTGGGATGAGGACTGGGATATACTGGGATGGACTGGGATGGAGACTGGGATGGAGAATGGGTTCCTCTTCCACCCAGGGGACTGGGATGGGGACTGGGATGGAGACTGGGTGCCCCTTTCCCACCCAGAGGACTGCGATGAGGACTGGGATGAGGACTGGGATATACTGGGAGGGACTGGGATGGAGACTGGGATGGAGACTGGGTGCCCCTTTCCCACCCAGGGGACTGGGATGGGGACTGGGATACACTGGGAGGGACTGGGATGGCAACTGGGATATACTGGGATATACTGGGAGGGACTGGGATGGAGACTGGGTTCCCCTTCCCACCCAGGGGACTGGGATGGGAACTGGGATATACTGGGAGGGATTGGGATGGAGATTAGGATGACTGGGATTGACTGGGATGGAGGCTGGAGGGGGATTGGAGAGGACTGGGGAAACTGGGAGGAAGACTTGAGGGAGGGAAAGGAGCTTGTGGGGAACTGGGACAGAGACTGGGATGGACTGGGAGTGACTGGGATGGATTGGGAGTGACTGGGATGGATTGGGAGCGACTGGAATGGATTGGGAGGGACTGGGATGGAAACTGGGAGGGACTGGGAGGGACTGGAATGGAGACTGAAGGGACTGGGGGGGAAGTGGGAGGGACAGGGATGGACGGGATGGAGATGGGGGGTTACTGGGATTGACTGGGATGGACTGGGAGCCGCTGACACCCCCCTCCCCTGCTTTGGCCCCAGATGCCTCCGGCCGCTGCGACCCCAACTCCCAGTTGGTCCCACTAACGGCCGGGGTGGATCCCTGCAAGGATCCCACCGGATTCCTCAGCCCCCAGCTGGGCGGGGGCACAGCCGGATCCTACGGAGGCGGATCGGGATCCTATGGGAGTGGATCGGGATCCTACGGAGGCGGATCGGGATCCTACGGCGGATCGGGATCCTATGGAGGCGGATCGGGATCCTATGGAAGCGGATCAGGATCCTATGGAAGCGGATCGGGATCCTACGGAGGCGGATCGGGATCCTACGGCGGATCGGGAACATCCCAGGGGGGTGGAAAGTTTCCAGGATCCTTTGTGTCTCCGGGATCTTCTGGGGGCAGGCCGGGATCCTATGGGATCAGACCAGGATCCCACGGGGACGGCTCGGGATCCTTTGTGTCGCCGGGATCTGGTGGGCCGTTGGGATCCTACGGACACGGGTCTTACGGGGGCGGATCGGGATCCTACGGCGGCTCGGGAATATCCCAGGGAGGTGGAAAATATCCGGGATCCTTTGTGTCACCGGGATCTTCCGGGGGCAGGCCGGGATCCTATGGGATCAGACCGGGATCCCACGGGGACGGCTCAGGATCCTTTGTGTCGCCGGGATCTGGTGGGCCGTTGGGATCCTACGGACACGGGTCTTACGGGGGCGGATCGGGATCCTACGGCGGCTCAGGAATATCCCAGGGAGGTGGAAAATATCCGGGATCCTTTGTGTCGCCGGGATCTTCCGGGGGCAGGCCAGGATCCTATGGGATCAGACCGGGATCCCACGGGGACGGCTCAGGATCCTTTGTGTCACCGGGATCTGGTGGGCCGTCGGGATCCTACGGGGGTGGATCCTATGGAGGATCCAGTTCGGGATCCTACGGAAGCGGATCCGGATCAGGAAGACCTGGATCCCATGGGGGCAGCGGATCCGGATCGGGCAGACCTGGATCCCATGGGGGCAGCGGATCTGGATCGGGCAGACCCGGCTCATCTCAAGGAGGATCCAGTTCGGGATCCTCTGGAAGCGGATCAGGATCAGGGAGACCCGGATCCCAAGGAGGAAGTGAATCTGGATCCTATGGAGGCGGGTCAGGATCCTACGGGGGATCCGGATCCCATGGGGGATCCACTTCTTATGGAGGACCTGGATCCTACGGAGCTGTGCCGGAATCCATCAGGGGATCCTACGGAGGATCCAGTTCAGGATTTGGCAGACCCGCATCCCAGGGGGGCAGCGGATCCGGATCGGGAAGACCCGGATCCGGATCGTACGGGGGATCAGGCTCCTATGGGGGCAGCTCGGGATCCTATGGGTTCCCTGATGTCTACGGGGATGATTCGGGATCTTACGGGGGATCGGGATCCTACGGGGGTGGATCAGGCTCCTACGGAGGATTGGGATCCTATGGGGGTGGATCGGGATCCTACGGGGGATCGGGATCGTATGGGGGTGGATCGGGATCCTACGGGGGTGGATCGGGATCCTATGGGGGTGGATCGGGATCCTCTGGGGGATCGGGATCCCATGGGGGTAACCGGCGCCCCGGGTACAAGAATCCTGGGATCCCCTACATACCGGGGCTGCGGGATCCCGCCCGGATCGGGGGCTACATCCCCATCCGCCGGGTCCCCTCAGCGGGATCCACTCAGGGATACGGGGTGGGATCCGGGATGGGATCTGGATACGGCTCCAGTTCCGGGGTGGGATCGGGGATGGGATCTGGATACGGCTCCAGTTCCGGGGTGGGATCCGGCTCCGGGGCGGGATCCAGCTCGGGATCTGCCACCTACAGCTCCGGGGCGGGATCCAGCAGCGGATCTGGGACGGGATCCGGCAGCGGATCCGGAGCGGGATCCGGCCAATCCCAGTCCAGCTGTGGGACCTGTGACAAATAGGGACACCCAGATCCCTCCTGGGGACGTGGGGGGATCCCGTGTCCCAATAAAGTCGTTGGATGGCGGCACCGGCCTCGTCCCTGTCCCCACGCGGGGCCCCACGCCCACACGTGGCCCCACACGTGTCCCCACGCCCACGCGTGTCCCAGCGTGTCCCCACGTGTCCCAGCACCGCCTGAGCCGGTGGGGCCGGTTCCTGCCCACGCGCGGGGACGGGGACAGCAGGGGTGGGGTGGGGACACCCACGGGGACATGGGGGACGCGTGGGAGGGGACAGGGACATCCACGGGATGGGGACACTCACATGGGTGGGGACATGGGGACATCCACGGGATGGAGACACCCACGGGGACGGGGACGCGGGGGACGCGTGGGAGGGGACAAGGACATCCATGGGATGGGGACACTCACATGGATGGGGACATTGGGGACATGTGGGAGGGGACAGGGACATCCATGGGATGGGGACACCCACGGGGATGGGGACACCCACGGGGATGGGGACATGGGGGATGTGTGGGAGGGGACAGGGACATCCATGGGATGGAGACACTCACATGGGTGGGGACATGGGGGACATGTGGGAGGGGACAGGGATATCCATGGGCTGGGGACATCCACGGGGATGGGGACACCCACGGGGATGGGGACATGGGGGACGTGTGGGAGGGGACAGGGACATCCATGGGATGGAGACACTGGAAACATGGGGGACGTGACAAGGACATCCATGAGATGGGGACACGTGTGGGGCCACGGGGGACATCTGGGAGGGGACAAGGACATCCATGAGATGGGGACACTGGGGACACAAGGGATGGGCTGGGGACATCCACGGGATGGAGTTGGGGACATCAGGGGTGGGATGGGGACACCCATGGGGATGGGGACACAGGGGACATGCGGGAGGGGACAAGGACATCCACAGGATGGGGACACTCACATGGATGGGGACACGGGGACATCCATGAGATGGGGACACCCACGGGGATGGGGACATGGGGGACGTGTGGGAGGGGACAAGGACATCCATGAGATGGGGACACCCACGGGGACATGGGGACACCCATGGGGATGGGGACACTCACGGGGATGGGGACATGACAAGGACATCCATGGGATGGGGACACCCATGGGGATGGGGACACTGGGGACATGGGGGACATGACAAGGACATCCATGAGATGGGGACACTGGGGACACAAGGGATGGGCTGGGGACATCCACGGGATGGAGTTGGGGACATCAGGGGTGGGATGGGGACACCCATGGGGATGGGGACACAGGGGACATGTGGGAGGGGACAAGGACATCCACAGGATGGGGACACCCATGGGGATGGGGACACAGGGGACATGTGGGAGGGGACAGGGACATCCACAGGATGGGGACACTCACATGGGTGGGGACATGGGGGACATGTGGGAGGGGACAGGGACATCCATGGGATGGAGACACCCACGGGGGGTGGGGACACGGGGGACATGTGGGAGGGGACAGGGATATCCATGGGATGGGGACACCCACATGGATGGGGATACGGGGACATCCATGGGATGGAGATACCCACGGGGACGGGGACACCCATGGGGACAGGGACACCAGGGACATGGGGGACGGGACAAGGACATCCTTGAGATGGGGACACCGGGGACACAAGGGATGGGCTGGGGACATCCACGGGATGGAGTTGGGGACATCAGGGGTGGGATGGGGACACCCACGGGGACGGGGACATGGGGACATCCATGGGATGGAGACACCCATGGGGTGGGGACACAGGGGGACATGGGGGACATGTGGGAGGGGACAAGGACATCCACGGGATGGGGACACCCATGGGGATGGGGACACGGGGGAAATGTGGGACATGTGGGAGGGGACAAGGACACCCATGGGATGGGGACACTGGAGACACATGGGATGGGGTGAGGACATCCATGGGATGGAGTTGGGGACATCAGGGATGGGATGGGGACACTGGGAACATGGGGGACAGGGACATCCATGGGATGGGGGCCATCAGAGGTGGGATGGGGACACCTGGAAGGGTGGGGACAGGTGGGGTTGGGGACATCCATGGGATGGGGGACATCAGAGGTGGGATGAGGACACCTGGAAGGGTGGGGACAGTGGGGACGGGTGGGGTTGGGGACATCCATGGGATGGGACTGGGGACATCAGGAACGGGATGGGGACACCCAGAAGGATGGGGATGGGGACACTGGGAATGGGGACATCCATGGGATGGGGACATCAGGGACAGGACCCAGAGAGGTGGGGGCACTGGGGACGTGGGGGACAGGACATGGGCATCCATGGGGTGGGGACACCAAGGGTGGGGACATGAGGGGCATCCATGGGGTGGGGTTGGGGACATCAGGGCCGGGATGGGGACATCAGGGACATGGTGGGATGGGGATGTGAGGGAGGAGATGGGGACACCCGTGGGGCTGGTGGCACTTGGGGATGTGGGGGGGGACAGGATGGGGACACTGGTGTTGGGCCAGGGCCACCCATGGGGACGTTGGGACATCGGGGCCACCCAGGGTGGAGCTGGGTGACACTGGGGGGAGGTGGCCCCGAAACTGGGGCAGGAGGGATGGGGCGGGTGACACCAACCAGTATGAGCCCCAAAGAGACCAGTTTGGTCCCTTTGGGACCAGGATGGGCCTGAGACACACCAGTATGAGCCTGAAGAAGACCAGTAAGAGCCCTGTAGAGACCAGTATGGCCCCATATGGACCAGTATGAGCCCTAAGGAGACCTGTATGACCCCCAAAAGACCAGTACAAGCCCCATAATGACCAGTGTGAGCCCAAAGGAGACCAGTATGGCCCCAAAGGGACCAGTATGAGCCCTGTAGAGACCAGTATGGCCTCATATGGACCAGTATGACCCCAGAGGGACCAGTATGAGCCTTGTAGGGACCAGTATGAGCCCTGTAGAGACCAGTATGGCCCCATATGGACCAGTATGAGCCCAGAAGGACCAGTATGAGCCCTGTAGGGACCAGTATGAGCCCTGTAGAGACCAGTATGACCCCAGAAGGACCAGTATGAGCCCTGTAGAGACCAGTATGGCCCCATATGGACCAGTATGGCCCAATATGGACCAGTATGACCCCAGAAGGACCAGTATGAGCCCTGTAGAGACCAGCATGACCCCAGAAGGACCAGTATGAGCCCTGTAGAGACCAGTATGGCCCCAGAGGGACCAGTACGAACACTATAGAGACCAGTATGACCCCAGAAGGACCAGTATGAGCCCCGTAGAGACCAGTAAGAGCCCCGTAAATACCAGTATGGCCCTATATGGACCAGTATGACCCCAGAAGGACCAGTATGACCCCAGAGGGACCAACATGAACCCAAGAGAGACCAGTATGGCCCCATATAAACCAGTATGACCCCATAGGGTCGAGTATGAGCCATATAGAGACCAGTAAGGCCTGATATGGACCAGTATGACCCCAGAGGGACCAGTATGAGCTCTAAAGAGACCAGTACAGCCTGATATGGACCAGTACAACCCCAGAAGGACCAGCATGAGCCCCGTAGAGAACAGTATGGCCCCATATGGACCAGTATGACCCCAGAAGGACCAGCATGAGCCCCATAGAGACAAGTATGGCCCCATATGGACCAGTATGACCCCAGAGGGACCAGTACGAACACTATAGAGACCAGTATGGCCCTATATGGACTGGAGACCAGTATGGCCCCATATAAACCAGTATGACCCCATAGGGTCGAGTATGAGCCATATAGAGACCAGTAAGGCCTGATATGGACCAGTATGACCCCAGAGGGACCAGTATGAGCTCTAAAGAGACCAGTACAGCCTGATATGGACCAGTACAACCCCAGAAGGACCAGCATGAGCCCCGTAGAGAACAGTATGGCCCCATATGGACCAGTATGACCCCAGAAGGACCAGCATGAGCCCCATAGAGACAAGTATGGCCCCATATGGACCAGTATGACCCCAGAGGGACCAGTACGAACACTATAGAGACCAGTATGGCCCTATATGGACTGGTATGACCCCAGAGGGACCAGTATGAGCTCTAAAGAGACCAGTACAGCCTGATATGGACCAGTATCGCCCCAGAAGGACCAGCATGAGCCCCGTAGAGAACAGTATGGCCCCATATGGACCAGTATGACCCCAGAAGGACCAGTATGAGCCCTGTAGAGACCAGTATGACCCCAGAAGGACCAGTATGAGCCCTGTAGAGACCAGTATGACCCCAGAGGGACCAGTATGACCCCAGAAGGACCAGTATGAGCCCCGTAGAGACCAGTATGGCCCCGGGAGGGGTCTCATGCTCGGCTCCAGCCCCCACGCACTGGGTGCCATGTGTGGGTGGGGATGGGGGGTGTCGGGGTCCCCCCACCCTCCGTGGGCGGCCGCACCCGGGTGGGGTCGAAATTTCGGGTGGGAG